TTGAACATAGTGTTCAGATGGGATGGTAGGCTTGTGGAAATTCTGAAGTTGTGATTGCTGGAACCTGAGGATATGTCCATGCGATCTGCTTCCCTGTATGTCCTGGTGCTTATGCTCTGTGCTAGACTTTCATCCTCATTGAGGGGACAGCTAGATCTAATTCTATAACAGGAAGTTGCAGTTATAAAATTGAGATATTCTGGATGGTGTCTGGGAGCACTGCCCAATGTAAGCAGAATTGCATTGACTGCACAGTAGGTGAGACTAATTCAGAGGGATTTATGAAGATGCTTAATCTGCTCCAGAGGCATGTAGCTAAAGGGTTCCTTCTGCTTGGAGGTGCTGCCTTGACGTACGAGCAGAGGCTATTGGCCTTCCCACATTTGTATCCTAACCAATTTATGACTTTATATGTAAGGCCCACAACACTGAGTAAACCTGAAACCGAATTGACAGCCTGTGTAGAGCGCAGAGTGATGATGCACTCTGCAGTGAGTGATCTGTCAGTGCTTTATTCTTGCCTGGACACTTGCATAGTTTCAGGTTGCAGCAAGACTGGAGAAGAGGTACAGAATTCTTGAGAGATGTCTGTGCTGTTCTTGCAGCTATTAATTTTGTATTGGCTAATCTGCATCTTTCACTGTCTGAACCATTGCAGTCCTGGAAACAGCCATGGAAAACAGTTCTAGTGAGAATATTGTCGAAAAGAGAGGAGAGCATTGTTCTCTGGTGCATCCACTTGATTACTTTTTATGATGACAAGAGAGTTCTTGGATCCAATCCTATTTCCTGTTCACATATCATTGCTTTTCCATCATCATCAGGTTTCTTCTAGTCTCTAAACTCAGATTTATTTTTCTAATGATCATGTACAAGAAGGTTGGTACTTTAAAAATCTAATTATTCAGCATTAAAGGAGAATATGAAACTATTTTGTATGTCTTTTATACCTGAGAACTGTATGAAAAAAGAATTTGGGGAGGTTTAAGTTACAAATGCTGTTAATGGAATGTGCTAGAAGGCTGTGACATCTTGTGCAGAAAGAAGAGCCTTTTAGTTACTACCTGGAATTCAGTACATAAGCCTAGCAAACAGCAGTTCTGGTCAAAGTTCCTGCCACCTGTATTGTAGCATAGTTGTGTGTGCTTTTGGGCACCTACCTGTTCTTCAAAACACATAATCATTGAGAATTTCTTTCAGGCTCCATACATAAAGGTACCTTAAAATCTGCATCTTGTTTACACTTGTATTACTAATTTTCACATTTCTTATGCATTGAAAAAGATGCAGATGAGAATGGAGGTGGAAAAGCGTTTGCCTGGAAGGTCCAGTAATTCCAAGTGATTACGGGGGTGGACCACTTCTTTATAAATGAGTGGGAGGGCATCTTAATCTTTACTACAATTATTATACTAAAACATATTTCCAGAAAAAAACCCAACACCTTCCTTTTCTGATATTGCTTTCTGATTTTGTGGTCCTGGAACTATACTTAGTGCTGTAATTTATTTAGGTTTATGGCAAAGCAAGATGAGTATTTCTGTTAGTTGACAGAATTGAGGGTACCAGCTCCTGCAGTTCTGTCAGGTGTTGAGCCTTTTGTGTCTTTTTCTGAGAAGGTGACCAGGATCCCTTCTCCTCTTTTGCCCACCAAGGTTCTTCGAGACTAGTGCTTTCAACTTGGTGATTGGAGCTTTGAAGGGATCAGTTACAGAACATGCTCTAATTACTCCCTTCAAAATTTGCTCTTTTGTATATATTATGGGTAGGTATTTCATGTCATATTTGCCAATGATATAGATATTAAAACAGTGAATATGTGTTGTTGCAGACTAATGTGTGCCTATGTCAGAGCTGTATGAGGGGTTTTTGTTTTAAACACCAAATACTGAAATTATTTTGCACCGATATCTGTACTGATAGCTGAATGCTTGACAAAATGGGCAGAACAAATGCTTGTTGTGAGTGAAGGGTTGCACAGCTGCACGACAGGCACCTTTCTAAGTCATTATGCATAGTCTCATTTTTATAACATATGGTTAAAATAACAAAGTTTTGGGCAAATGTATATGTTAGCCATGAGTTTAGTTTCCAGCTGGAGAAATTATTTAATGTTTGTGAGATGACCTGTTGCCTAAACAGCAGGGTGCATGTTGGCAGAGACGCATGTTTATGTTGTTTGGCATATTTTATGTGGTGGCTCCGTTTCTCACTTTAGACGTGTTAAGTGACTTCAGTTAAGAATAAGTCTGTGTTGAATTGTATCAAACAAGGTATCTTTCTTTTGTAATATTTGTAGGTATATTTTTACATTTTTTGTTTTTCTTTTACTTTCATGCTTACCATGTAAAATCCTTTCAGAAAGCAACAATAAACTGTAAGTAAATTAAATGTGAATTTTCCAACAATTGATTTGTTGCCTAATTGTGTGGTCCAAAATGAGCTACAAAACCAACGTAATGAAAGATTACAAGTATCAAGAATAAATTCCACACTGTAGCAGCAGATTATCATATATATTGTACTTCATTGATCAGAGTGCTAGCCTGTAAAATAGTATCACTAAATATGTAATTATTTAAATCAATTCCTGATGCTTTTTCAGTGGTTAAACTGAAATAATATTGGGGGGAATGTAAATTTTTTGGAGGGAGGAGGGGTGAATATAAGAGAGAAACCTATAACAGCATTGGAATTAATGAGCTTTTTTTAACACTACAGAATGCAGATCATAAGCGTTATCTCGGAGGCTTGGGGAAGGGATTAGCTTAATATTTCATTGGGAAGTGCATAGAGGAAACATTAATTGGTACTGTATATGACAGTGGGAAGGGGAGATAATTTTGGAATTTGTGCTTTGTAATGTCTTGTTAATTTCAAAACATTAACAGTAGCAAACCCAGCAACAGATGAGTAAGGTAACACAGATGTAGGGTCCACAAGCGCTTGTTGCAGAATTTGAACTGCATCTCAGTTCTTATGTAGTTCTTAAGAATATAGCCTGGAAATACAGAACAAAAATTAAAAAAGGAAAACTACTTATAATGCTGTGCTTGTCTAGAATAAAGACAAACTATATACAGTGAGAAACTGTAGTGGGGTGTTGCTGCTGCTGCATGTTTACTTCCTTGCAACCTGAAATAATCTTTTACTTCGTATATAAAGTTGGGTCTGTTATCAACATAGAATCCATCACTATACTAAAAATACATATCACTGTATATATCACCCTGTGTTTAAGTATGGGTTTAAATTGCAGCAGGAATTAGGAAACATTAGGAACATTTCTAGTAGGGTTAAACATTAGGAAACTTTCTAGTAGGGATGGCAGTGAAGCACCAGGCTAGATTGCTTGGGGAAGTCATCCATCCCAGGAACCTTTGGAACAAGGTATACAAATACTGTCAGGACAGGTATGGGTATGTTTATAATCCCACCCCACCACTTTATTTAACATAGGATTTTTCAAAGTCAGTTCTGATCCTATTTTTCTGTGACTTTCTTTCTGTGGGAAATAGAGAGCACAAGCCATGGAATTGGATGTTTGTTCCGAAAGCTGGGGGAAAAAATAAAATATCCTGGAAATTTAAATAGTGCTTTGAAGCAACATTGCCTTGTCAGTAGTAATATTCTAGATTGCTTCCAGTAAGAAGAGAAAGTAACCATGCTGTTGAGGTTTGCTTTCAGGTTTTTCTGCTGTGCTTTTTGACTTCCAGACATTTCAGTTAAATACTGTTTGTTTAAAATTTAAATTTAACAGTTAGAGCAAAAGAAAAATGTGGTACACATTTTTTTAATTACTCAATTCATAAGAGCTGCTCTTTTAATTTTTTAAATCACAGTTCTATTTAAATGGGTAGTTCAGTTGCAGATTGATTTTTTTTTTTTTTTTTTTTTTTGGGGGGGGGTGGGGGTGGAGGAGGCAGGTTAAAAAGCAGAGGCCAAAAAAACGACAAATGATTTCACTGGTGCTGTTTGAATTCTGTAGCATCCAGCACTTCACCTTCAACATCTTAAGATACACGCGGATGATGTGTGAACTTGTTATACATATAGTAAAAATATTCCACTTGATTAATTTTTGCCTACAGTGACTTCTCAAATACCTTATTTAAAGTAATTCCTCAATTATTCTTCCGCATAAATAATTGTAAGACTAGTTTATTGTACCTGACTGTATATGAAAACCAGCAAACCTACAGTAGGTTTTATTTTGGTGTTGGGGAGTTGCATTTATCTCTTGACTCCTTTATGCTCTTTAAAGAAGGTGTTTTTCATCTGTTTCATCAGAAATTTATAGTCCATCTTCAGCCTCTCTGGGTGACTGCAGAAGACATAGAATTGTGGCATCACAGATTGGAAGTTGAGCAAGTTGAGGGTAAAAAATTTTAATATGATTATTCACAGCTGTAAGAGTGGATTAAATAAAATATTCAAGACAGTTCTATTTTGAACATGAGAATTTCAGAAAACTAAAGGAGTGTGACTTGAGGAATGTGGGAACATTAAATGATGTGCATTATTTTGGTATATAGAGGAAGAGAATTTGAATGATGATACAGGGCGAGAAGAACTATAATATTTAATCATGGAAGCCTTTAAAGTCCACTAAGAAGCCAAAAAGCACATTACTCTATTAAAATGTGTCTTGCAGGTTGTTTTTAGACTAGAGTAGATAAATATGAGTGGGACTGAAAGCCTGCATGGAAAATGTTACTATTGTGTACAGGCATTTTGGGGAGCATTAGGTAATCTGATGCCTGTAATGAAATACTGAATTAGTAAGTGTATGGTGTTGGCAGTTGCTTCTGTATGAAAGGTAGTAAGTATCTATATAATATGAACTTACATGGCATTTTTTTCAGTTTGTTTAATACAGCCTTACAGAAAAAAAGATAAAGCAATATACCGTCAGGTGTTTCTTTCAGGGGAGAGATGGGAAGAAAACTAATTCTTAATAAATAGCATTCTTGGTAATGTCTTTATTTTAATTTCTTTAGACTATGTCTGAATGTATCCAGCTGTCATTTGCTGTTTGTAGAATCGGCATTTACACGGTAAGGCAATGCTCTAACTAACTAAATTTTTGTTAGTGTTAATGCCATTTGAATGAAAAAACATTTCTTAGTTTTTTGGGATCAGGATTAAGTAATGCAGTTAGCAAAAGGGATTTGTCATATTGGTTTATATAAACAGACTACAGCATGATTTTGTTCTGTCAAAGATTTACTGATCCCAGGACAGAAAATGTTTTCTCCACTCTAATTAAAAAGATAAAGAAAAATTCAGCCAACCTCTATAGGTAAAAAAAAAAAAATTAGCATGTATCAGCTGCTGAGAATTCTGGCCTAATGTAATTGCTGAAGGGTTTGTATGTATTTGCATTTAAATATCCATGATGCTTGAGTTATGTCATGTATTAAAACATGTTTGCTAAATGCACATATTGTTGTAAGCTTTGGCTGGAGTACCTTAATATCTTCCAAATGCTGTTAAGTTAAACTTTCCAAACCTTAATTAAGTTATAGAAAAGAAATATGAGGTTTACTTCAAACATATGTCCCAAATATATAAAGGTTTTTTTTTTTTTTCTGCTCCCAGTTTTTCCATTTAATGATGAGAACAGTTAGATGAATGGGATGTTTTGTATAAATTAATTGTGTAAGCTAAGCTTTGCTTACACAATGTATAAGGCACTGTTGATCAAATCATGCTTCAAATCCTGGAGCTTTTGGAGTGGGAGTGCTGCTTCTACAGTTGATGCTTTTCAGAAGGAAGCCAGACACATACCACTTGCTATTTTGTTGGGACGTACAGACAAAAACGTAGGAGAATTCTGTACAACTCGTGAGTACTATGTACCACCAGTAAGCCTTACTTGAGAACAGAATCTCAAAGCTTAACATATGCTTTTATTTTAAGAATTTGGTGACAGGTAGGGTTTAATATGTGCTTGAGGTTATTTTCCATGATAATTGCCTGCATTTGGTTTTCAACATCTAAAAGACTATTTTCTAAATGGTAGAAAATAACCGATTTGGACAATAAGGACAAAAATCCTCATGGAGGAAACAGCCACTTGCAAAGTCAAAGGCATTTTCCTGTGGTATTTAGGTTCCTTAGGATCTCTTTCTATCTCCAAATTCCTATGTGATAAGAGTATGCTTATCTTGAAGGATCAGAGGGGATTACAGTATGAGGTTTTAATGGCTGCAAGGTATGCAAGCCATCTGCTAGCTCTTTAGAAGCCTACAGTAAGCTGTCCAAATTAATTTGAGAGCATGTCTAAGTGTGTGTGTATTGCAGAATCAGCTATAAGCAGGTATAATGTATAGCAAAATACACTCGCTGACAATAATTGGTTGTATTTTAGTTTGAAACGGGTAAGGGTGGCGTGTATACTGCAGTGCACTGCTAAGTTGTGATAGCTGCAGTTACAGTGATAGTTGGGTAACTGATATCTCATTGTGACCTTTTGGGCAGCATAATATTTAATTCTGTGAAACGTTTTAAATTACAAAACGTAGAGAGCTAGCTTCATTTATGAAAATGCTGAGAGAAGCTCATTTCGTCAACTGCTGGTATTTAAGGGAGGAGAGTGAGGAAGATGATGAGTAGGTTTCAGAGTGTCCAGAGATGTACTGTTCTGGCCACAGTGTAGAGGGAGGACACGCATTGCATGTAAAGTGTATTTGAAGGCTAAAATAGTTCCTTTAGGGAAATGTTAGTTGCCAAGAGTACTGTCACTGGAAAGGTGAGTTTCAGGTGATCTGACTGGAGAGTGGGTTTGGACAGCTTTGGTATCAGAGTAAAGGGAGAGGCCTGCTGGAGTGAGAGCTATGTGGAAACACAGTGTGATTGTTCCTCCCTCTGCACTGTGCCCTCCTCATGCTCAGTCATGTAACTCAGTCACTGGGTTTGTTGCTGAGGTATGTGAGCAGTCTGTCAGCCAGCAAGTATGGTACTCCCTACTGCTGTCAAGAAGCAAACCACAAAACTCCACTTAGTATTTCTCATTTAATGAATTCCTTATATCTTGTATCGTGTGCTTTCTACTGTATGCTGTTTTGTAGTTTTAATAGATTTATTTTTTAATTGATTGATTTTTATCCAAAAGCTAAGCAGTCTCTCAAATGCCAGTTCTTGGCAGCACCATGTGTTCAGTTTCTAAGGTATTACTTGGACATTTCCTATTCTGCATGTCCTAGTACAGTGCTGCAAGTATCTTTGCAAAGTCTCCTTTGGACTACAGACATTTCAATTGTTAGTCTGTTATCAAGCTGCTTATCAGTAGTGCTCCTGAGCACCCATTACTTCAGCTGTATTACTCCATTAAATAGGCTTCCTGTTTTTCAGGCCTGTACGCATTATGAGACTGAGGAAGGGTTTATATAGTTATCCATGGCAAAAGAGCCTGTGTGACCTTCAGCTACCATGACTATGCTGGGTTTCTGTGGTGAGTTTTTTGGTAGTGTTGGAGTGGGTTACAGTGGTGGCCCCCTGTGAGAAGGTTCTCAAAAGCTCCACTGGCTCCAAGTCGGACCTACCTCTGGCTGGGGCCGAACCAATTAGCGATGGTGGCTGCGCCTCTGCAATAGTGTATTTAGGAAGGGGAACCTGGGAGGGGGGTTGGGACTTTTGAGGAGGTGTTACAAGAAGGACACTCAGGTCAGTGGACAGAAGGAGGAGGAAGTGGAGGAGCTGTGCTGGAGCAGAGACCCCTGTATCCTGTGGTGAGATGGCAGGGCCACCCCCCTGTCCCCCATGGAGGTCCACAGGGGAGTAGAGGCTGGCCTGCGGTCTGTGGAGGAGCCCACACTGGGATAGGTGTAGGTGCTTAAAGGAAGCTGGGACTCAGGGGAGCAGTGGCCCTTGCTGTCGTTGTTTGGCGCTGGGGGGACTGCAACACGCAGGCGCGACCCATGCTGGAGCAGCATGGGAATGGCTGCATCTGGTAGGAAGGACTCACTGTGGAGAAGGTTCATGGAGGAGTGTCTGCAGTGAGAGGGGAGCCCCGTGGAGCAGGGGAGGGATGTGCGGCGTTCACCCCACCTCCCGAGAAGGCAGGAGCAGTGAGCTGGCTGTAACCCCCATCCCCTGCCCCTGCACTGCTGGGGGAGGAGGGAGAGAGATCGGGAGCAGAGCTGAGCCTGAGGAGCCTGTGGTGGTGCTTCTCACTGTCCCACCTTGTCTGTTAAGTGTTGTCTTTGTTAACATTTGAATTAAAGTGATGTTCTTTTTTTGCTTCTCCTAAGAGTCTGTCTTTTGCCCATGACCATAATGGTTGAGCCACCCCTTCTTGTCCTTATCTTGGTCACCAAGCCTTTTAGTTTATTTTCTCCTTCCCATTCCTGAGGAGGAAGGTGTGAGTGCATGTCTGTGTGGTGCTTAGTTGCCCTCTGGGCTCAAATCATGACAATGACTAAGAAGATAAGGCTTAGTTGCCATGAGCTAGGAAAAACAGATCTTTGCAAGAGTGCAGAAAGAGATGTGATGCCCATTTGGGTGTATTAAACCAGATGAGATTACTTAGAAGTGTATATCCTTGAAGGGGGGACTAGAAAAGCAGAGGTGGTTAATATAAGACCTGTATAGATATTCATAAGGATATCTGTAAGGAACTGAAGCTGAAAGATATGTATACTAAAATGAAAACGTTATAATAAAATTAAATAAAAACTTGGTGATAAAAAAAACAATCAACCAACTAATTAGAATAAAAGACCATTTCCTCTGTGTGTTCTACACATCTAGTACCTTCTGGCAGAAGTACCAGTCTTTTCAGATGCTTCTTCCACTATACTAGTGTCTGAGTCAGATATGTCAGTGGGAAGTGTGGGAACAGGCGGATAAATTAATTCTTGAATCTGCATGGCAGTGGAGATTGTAAGCATATGACACCTTGTAGCAAAGCCTATCAGTATATTTTCATTAACTTCTTTCTGTTTCTGATTTAATTTTCTTAACCAGGTAAAAATCCTAATAAAGTAATGATGGAGAGTTCAAACTACATGAACTTTAGAGGAAAAATAATCCAAGATTTGTTGTTTTGTAAAACAGTTTTTATGATGAGATGTTTGCCACCTTTATAGATATTTGAGGACTCCACCGCAGAAACAGTATGCATGGTTGTATGCCTACGCATCTTCTCTGGAAGGTTCTCTGATCCTCTGTACCAGGCTTTAAGACTTCTCAACTGGATGCATATAATAGTAAGCTTTTTTTGAACAGGGGTATTAAGGTATTCTTTTCTGTCCCGGCTCCCTCAATGTGATTTCAGGAATAAGCAAAAAGCAATTTTTTGGATAACAAAACAAGGACAGAAGCCTCTACAGTGGTGAGAACCATGCAGAAAAACTAAGGAGACTTAGTGGAAGTGTGGTTGTTTGGTGGTATGCATTAGAAAGAAAAATACTGTAAAAGAACATCTTCCCTTCTCAGAAAATTAGAAAGTAACAGTTCTCCTTGATTGCAGAGTATGGCATCAATAGATAAACAATTATAAAACACTAATTTCAAAACAAAACAATAAAGATAACAAAAAGTCCTGTAGAGCTTTCTGCTTCTCAGATGTTGGGTATGGCAAAAGGGATGCACTCTAGCAGTATCCATTTCTTCCTGAAAATGATGAGTGATGGATATTTTGGTCTTAGTAGCCTCTTGGTTTGAATTTGCCCAGTGAGATGTGGAAATAAATGATGCATTTACACAGCTGTGCTTACTATAGTTTATATATGGTAAGTGTAGTAAATAACGCAAACATGCTTTTGGTTCTCTGGTTTGCTTTGGATAAACTTGCATTTGTCTTTGTTTATAATCATAAATCAATGTCTTGAGATGGTTTGACTGGAAACAGCTGGTGTGCTAAGGAATTTGTTTGACGTTAGAACAAAAGAGAGTAACATTTATTCATGAAGTGGTGGAGGGAAGGCTCTTAAGAGAAACCAACTGAGGCAGTAACTAAAGGCAGTCATGGGGCAGGAGGTAATCATGGAGCATGTTTGGAAAGGTTCAGGAGCCAGCCAGTGACTTACAGTATGGAAAGCTTCCTGTGAGA